TTGACTAAGATATTGCCAAAACAAAAATTACCATAAACGGCAAAAACGCTTAATTGATGGCCTAAACGACGGAATTTGCCCAAAATTTGACGTGCATCAGGGCCAAAGGCCCTGAGTTGTGATCATTGGCCCGTTTCCAATCAAATTAGACTAGCAATTCGTCAAAACGAACAAATTCGGAATTAAATGAGATTATTATTTTGCCTTCATCAAAATGTTTGTAGAGTTTGTACTGATAATTGTCCTTGTGATTTATGAGATGATCCATAATAGTATTAATTTATAATTTGTGTATCGCACGGGTGAAAGACTAGTTTCCATAAAAGTATCGGGGCTGGCAAAGGCAAAAGTCCATTTTACCCTGTTGTTACTCTGTGTGAATAATTTATAGAAAATGAATGGAGGGCAAAATAGATAATTGATCCTAACAATAAATAATGAGTACAGTGATTCATCAGACACTGTAGAATAAACAAATGATATTCACATCGCCAAAACAGCTACCAATTTTTGACTTTTTTATGGAGTGTTCAACATATAATTCAAAGTAGGTAATGGTGTCAAGTCTGAGGGTAAATACGTCCAACTAATTTCCAAGGGTCTAACAAAGGCAAATTAAAGTCGAACAAAGTAGGTTCAACTTTTGTTTTTTTTTTATTAGCTTTTTACTGTAAGTTATTGAGATTTTGTACCAAAAAAAAAACTCTTTAAATTGAGCTTCCAAACGGGAGCAGTTTCTAAACTGTCATCTTTCTCACAACCTTGATTAAGTTCAGCCTGTTACATCATAATACTATGTCGACTGAAGAGAAAAACATCAAGCCCACAATCCCACTAAAACTTCTGGTAGACGAGAAGAAAACCCGAGTCCTCGCGGCTGAAGCCACTAGTGATTTCGTCAATGTTTTGCTAAGTTTCCTCTCGCTTCCACTGGGAACTGTTGTTCGTGTCTTGGAAAACCATCCCGGTTCCATTGGCTGCATGAACAACTTGTACCAAAGCATTGGACAACTCAGTGCGGACAATTTCTGCACAGAGGCGTGTAAATCAATACTGTTAAGCCCAAGAAACCCCCATTCTCTTGTTTGCAAGAATCTTAAACTGAATATTGACGATACAAGCAATAGGAAATCTTTTGATTGTAATAATCGTAATTGCCGTATGTGGAGTCATTATCCTGACACGAAGTGTATTTGTGGAGGCATAGCCAACTTAGAGAAGTTTCAAGTGTCTCAACCCTTGGATCCAGAATGTTTTGTTAAAAGAACGACCGTCTGTGTGATTACAGATGATCTGCAGGTGCTACCTGGAAATCCGATTTCTCTGGTGCAGGTGCTATGTAATTTGGGTTTCAGCGATGTCGATCAGGTTGAGGAGTTGTCTGTTGATGTTGGATTAGACGAGGTAATCTAATCTATTAACAAAAAGTAACCTTTTTATCTATATTTTTGTCATACATAGCTCATTTTTGTTTTGAACTTTTTATCTGTGTGTAATGAAGTATATATGTAGTTTATTCACTTTCTTGTTCATCATATTGAACACGTCTTTGAGCTTCTGTCTTGTTTTTCCCTAATATCGGTTGATGTCTTATGGTTTTAATCACAATTATGTGACTGGTCTTTCTCTGTGTTCTTTAAGGTTTCTAAGT